TGGGAGGGGGGGGGGGGTATGTGCATGTGTTACTCTATTCGGTGAGTCCTTATACTGGCCATGTATGTATATGGCTCTCTATGGATAGTTAAGGTAACTCTTTGTGGAAGTTGTTAAACTCTCGCCGAAGAGTCGTGGCAGCCAAAAGAGAGTTCACTTGGCTAGGGTAATATACGCGGCCATAGTGAGGACTGGCAAATAAAAGTCGCCCCCCCCCCCCCCCCTTCTTTTTTTCAATGTAGTACGCGCACGCGGAAGGGCAAGCGTCGTGCAATGCTCAATACTCAATAACGTCTGGAGCGGCACACATTTGAGTTACCTAGCTGTAATCACAGGGAAACACCTGCACTCACATGTCGCCAAACATCTTAAGAATAGCATGCTAGAGGCATGCGAAGTCTCGCGCCCAAATTACCAGATTTTCACTAGGCTTTTGTATTCCGTCCGCCATCTTTTGCCGCTTCACAGCATTTATGCGTGCAAGACCGGCGGGCCAAGAACAGCTTTCTTTCTTTCTTTCTTTCTTTCTTTCTTTCTTTCTTTCTTTCTTTCTTTCTTTCTTTCTTTCTTTCTTTCTTTCTTTCTTTCTTTCTTTCTTCTTTCTCTTTCTTTCTTTCTTTCTTTCTTTCTTTCTTCCCGGTTTTCGATTGTGCCATGGAGAGGCCTTCCTCCAACCATCATCGAAGAGCGTGCATTGGCTGAACGCCAAAACACGCTGTTACTGTGTGCTTATCGCGCGCGCTTTCAAAATTGCCCGGGACCAGTCCCTCCCAGATTAATTCAAATCCCATTGCGCTTCGCGGACAGAGAGTGGTAATTGCTGTAGGCCCCGTGGCGTTCTATTTTAGCTCTGCGCTGAGCACCACCGGGCCAGGCCTCCTCGTGATTTCGCATCGATTTAATCTCCTCAGATCGGTACGGCGCGACGGTGGGGGGGCTTTAGCTATAGCGCAGAGCTTTCTCCGTTTTCAACGCACTCATGATCGTCCATGTTGCCAACGGGTTTTGCTGTCGCCACTTAGTAGCAGTGTAGTATACGGGCATTGCGGTGTGCCATTCTGCGTATAATCGTCAATGACCTCAGACGGGAGCAGTCTCGCATTATGGGCGCACTATTCACGGCTTCGAATTGCGCGGGTTTTGTTTCTCTCCCGGAGTATAGGGTCGAGAACGCCTTTGTGCCAGCGATCTTAAACGCGTGATCTGCGGCCCGTATACGAAGCCCGCGGACCTTTCGCACCCAATAAGTTTTTGTGACTTTGCTAAGTGGTACTCGTATTATTTTCACTCCTGTTGCGATTGATAGCGTTTTGTTCGGGTACGCTTTACAAAGACGGCACTGGTCTCAAACATGTTTTTTTTTTTTTAAGTGCGGAGCGCTGCAGGGGGCCGTGGGCTGTAGTATGCTTTCATTTAGGAAACTCTGAATGTAAGGGCTTTGGTGACGGGCTTGTCAGGATTTCCTCGTTGTCATGACTTGACACTGCAGTCGTATTCGTCAAAAATGTTTTACAAATTTTGGTCGACACCATAGCAAACTAGAATATTCTAGTTCACTATAGTCTACACCAATTAAGGATAGATAGATAGATAGATAGATAGATAGATAGATAGATAGATAGATAGATAGATAGATAGATAGATAGATAGATAGATAGATAGATAGAAAGGAAGAAAGAAAGAAATGTACCGAAGCATAGTGGCGCCAGTTCTGTGCCAGCGTGAAAGAAGACGTTGACGTCCGTGTGTGGCTCGTGCTTGCCGGGTTCCTGCCTGTACCAGCTTGTTGCGGCTAACGCAACAAGCTGGTAGGAAGGAAAGAAGGAACGCAGGAAGGAACGCAGGAAGGAAGGAAAGAAGGAAAGAAAGAAGAAAGGAGGGAAGGAAGGAAAGAAAGAAAGGGAGGAAGGAAAGAAGAAAGGAAGGGAGGAAGAACGCTCGAAGTGCCTTTCGCTCAATAAGAAATGCTTCGCATTTGACAATCATCTTGGTCTTCTTGCTCCAGTCTTCTCTAAAAGATTTGTACTATACATGCTCGTGCGGTATGCGCTTCTGCCCAGCCCAAAGCTCGCATGTTCACGTGACAACTACACAGCAGCTTTGCAGCTGCTCCGAGCACGGCGCGTTGGTGCCAGTTGTCACGTGATCTTGGAGCAAGGATGGTGGCGAGCTGTGGGCTGGGCGGAGCCTATGTGCCCTGACGTCGCTACGAGACCTCAGCATGTCGACAGCGCCTACAGCTGTTTTACAAATATGGAATAGGTCTATATGACACTGCTCCCCCCCCCCCCCCCATCATTTGCCTCGGTTTTCCCTGAAAAAAAAAATGGATCCGTGTTTTCAATGATTCGCAGCGCCTTTTATGGATATGCCCGTTGAACTATAACGTTTGCCTTGCGTGTAGTTAAATGAGGTGCATTTTTCGGTGTCAATTCTGGATTGAAATCTGAGTAGCTGTATGTAAGCGCTTCTGACCTTTCCATCTGAAGCAGCAGGAAACAACATTACATTACTAACTCTTTACCGGGGGAACGCTTGTGTAAGCGCGTATGGCAACCCGTATCTGACATCATCTACCCAACACTTGTGATCGAAAATGCCCTACTTTTATTTCTATTTTATTATTTTATTTTTTGCCTGCTGTCGCGCACTGATTCGACAAGACTTCGTTAAAAGCTTCGTTCCGGGCTTATTTCTATATGTGTTCGATGTAATACAGTACATTGGAAGCGCGCGGTATATCCTTGCGAAAGCTTGCATGCTGAAACACTTGTTCGGGAACATCGTCAGCAGGTGCGGTGTGAAACGCGGTACAAGCGAAGCCGACCTCTTGTGGGCGTTTTTTTTTGGTCGCGACGAGATTTTCATAACACGGAAGAGATCTTTATATAACACGCGGTTTGATGAACACGTGGGCATCGGGTAGTGAGAGGGTTGAGGTGAGTTTTTTTTTTTTTTATCTTGCTGAATCATGTCCGAATCATGCCACCTTTTTTAGGATAGCAGAAAGTAGCGCCATTTTCACCTCCCCCCCCCCCTTTAACCACCTCAAAAAATATAAATAAATAAAACGCTATGATGTTCGAGTTTTAAAGCGTCCGCCTGCTATGCGTGAGGCACTGCGCGTTCGATCCCCTGTTTTTGCCAGGTACCCACCGAGGTGTTCTCTAATGAGCTGCAGGAGATCCGCCGCGGTGGTTCAGTGATTGAGGTGTTCGGCTGCTGAGCAGAAGGTCGCGGGTTCGATTACGGTCTCATTTGGGCGGAGGTGAAATGCCAGAGGCTGCTGCAGTGTTCGATGCAGTGTCAGGGCACGTTTAACAGAAACCAGATGGTCGAAATTTCCGGAGCCCTATGCCTCGTAATCATATGCGGTTTCGGCGCGTAATTCCTCCAGTATTATTATTATTATTATTATTATTATTATTATTATTATTATTATTATTATTATTAGCTAGAGAGAATTGGGCATACGCTCATCTGGTTATGGTGGTATTGCCCTAATCTTCTTTCACGTCCCACGTTCGCTTATATACTATTCAAGGGTTGGTACAGAAAAGGTGTGAGTAGTAGGTGGAGGGGGGGGGGGGGGCTGTAGTTTGAACAAAATGCCAGGGCTAGAATATTGCCATATGAAATGTCATCTCCATATTACGCATTTATGTTTACTTCTGAGGATGATTTCGCGTGAGCGTTTGAAAAAAAAAAAACATATTGATACCGATCTTCAGAACGACTATAAATTCTACAGGCACCGATTTTGTAGTGCAATTTTTGTTCCACGATTATGTTTCAGCTTATGCGGTGGCCACATGGGGTGCATCACTAATAAATGTTTGTGACCACTCCTGTGCGATTCTCGATGAAGCGTTATTAATTGTATTGCATATCTGCCAACTCTCTGGGATTTTTCGGTAGATTCCCGGATTTTAAGGATTCCTTGCGTCTGTACGGTTAGGAGGAAAATCCCCCAGAAATGAAAATTCCTGTGCTTTATCTGGCCGCATTGAAAAAAAACAATCAAACCCAGTCCGATCCAGGCTTCTTGTGAAACTCTCGGCACTATCTCTTTAGGAAGCGTTGATGTAAACGTGCACTATAATCTCGTCGATAGGAATTCGCGATATAACAGTTGCATGTAACTACCGCATGTCACAACGACCCACTGGCATTGTGCAAGTACATTTTCGCAACCAAGGGCGCCCCCTTAACTTTCTGTTTTGTAGGGGGTACATTCGCGTGAACGGCGATTCGTGAAGGAGAAGGTCTCCATGACCGACAAGAGTCCTCCCTCAACAGTGTGTATGTGCAAGGTCGGTTGACTCGGATAGGTGGGACCTGAGTGCGCTAAAAAGAAAAAAAAAGGAAAAAAAAGCAAGAAATGATCTTAAACTGCTGGTGTGGCGGGAGAACGGGAGCAGCTCCCCCTCTATCCTGACGTCCATGCCTGCGCAACGCGGATTTGCCACTTGCTCCACAAATCAAAGCTCGCGCCATCCGTTGGTGCGCGTAGCTTCTCCGCATTGCCGCCAGGTGGCTTCGCCACCAAAACAACCACAGCAGCGGGCCGCTTCCGCGAGGCAGGGAAGGGAGCGCGGCGGTGGTGGAGGCGTGGAGGCGTGGAGGCTGCTTCCTCGGAAGATCAGCTGGCGGCTGCACTGCAGCTCACGCGTGTTCGGCGGACACTTGTGGCAGAAAACGCACATCACCCGGCGCCCTTTAAACGATGGCTTTCCACAGCGCCTGCACACGAGCCGTGTCAAAGCGTGTATCAGGCGCCAAAGCGTTCCGCGCACCGTCGATGGCTCGTGGTAAGGCTGCGGCAGCTTCGACATCGATGTCGTTCCGTGAAATGCGTCACGCTTGGTTTTACGATTGGCATTTGACTCGTTCTCTTCTAGTACCCGATCGAGCGCTGCTCGTCCGTGCCTGTCGTCGAACGCACTCGACGTCATTCAGAAAGTGAAAATGTGCCTTTGTTATTTTTTGTGTTTTCGCAGCCGACACCTCTTCGGTTTGTGATGGCAGTATTCCGAGGTGGTGGGACATACTGCTGACGACCGACTGCGTTTGAACGGCGGCGAGACCGCAGCGGGTACGTGTTTTTATTTTTTTTTTTACGCGGGATTTCGTCCCGTACTTCCGCGAGGATGATGAGCGCGGCGTCGTCCTTATCGGGACGTGCAAGCCGCCGGGGATCGATTCCGCGCGCGCTTCTTCCCTGCCATGGACGCGGTGTGTTGAAATCGTGTTGACGGAATCGACCGCGACCTTTCCCAACGCAGCGCGCGTGTGCCGTTCCTAGCTGAACTCGCCCCCCCCCCCCCCCCCTTTTTTTTTTTCTTTCTCCGCTGCAAGCGATTGCATAACCTTAGCCCCAGTTGAGATCGCGCTTCTTCCTTGCAGCTTTGCCTGCCCCGTGCTATCATTGAAGCCGCTCGTCGTTTCGAGCAGGGGTCTTTGAATACCCCCGGATCGTTAACTGATGCTCGACGCGTTCAGGTCTTTGCTTGTGGCTGGCGTGTTTGAAGCCTACCTACCACGTGCGTTGGCCCACGAGTCACTTGTAAACACAAGAGGGCGATTTATTATTGAGTGTTTCTGGATCACAGTTCAGACGTGCATGCCGTAATCCGGCTTTCACTCTTCGGCTGACGCGCGAAAACGCGCCAAAGTTTGTGATTACTTTTATTTATTGAGCTTTTGGACGGGCGAATGACAAGATAAGTGTCCGATCCTCACTACACGCTTGTCCCAAACGAAGATTACTCGACGCGCAGCTCGTGAACTACGACGCGGCTCGTCAATTGGTCCCATCAATTGTACATTAACGCTTTCGTTTCGAGATCGCGATTCTACCATTATGCGCGCTCGTGTCCGTATTAAAGCTTTGGCGTTGTCTAATGAATGCGGAACCGTTGCTGACGTTTATCCGCCGCAACAACAAGGTTTTACAAGTCTTGTTCTCAGCAAAACGTGCGTGTATTGCGAAGAAGCCGAATACGGCAAGGTGATGGCGCAAATAAGTAGGGTTTCCGGGTTCCGTTTGATTTTCATAAAAGCGAACTTATATTTAGAGCCCGCGTTGTTGCCTGTTGTTTTCGGTTATTTTTATAGAGTTTATTTCATTTTTTTGTTTTTGAGGGGACAAAAAAGAAGCACCTACGGACTAGACGAAGCACTTTTCTTTTTCAAGGATCACAGTTCTTCTTTTCATGTAGTTTCAGGAATCACCTGCCCAGGTGATTCCTGGAAGCTGTAAAGATTAGTTGGCCATGAAACTACCTGTGCCTAACTAAATAATGTAATTAGCTTCGATTGACAGATTAAAAAGAAAATGACGACACATTTTCGAAGTTGCAGCACATGCAGGTTGTAATTAATGAGTATTACGGCATAACTACCGAATCGACACAAATTTGCATTATGCAACACATGAGATGGGCGCAAGTGTCGCTCAACAATTCTAAAAACACGCTACACATTTTGTGATTGCACAGCTGTAGCTATTGTGACAATAAAAAGAAAGGAATATCAGACCTCTAGAATCTGTCATATTCACATCACTGTATTTGTGAGAACGTAGATACATGTATTCCATTGTTCTATTGCGCATATTTTTCGCCTTCAAAAAGTCTGCATGTCTTAGTGGTCAACAGAACACAATAGCGATGCAATTTTGAGGTTCGCTGTAGCTCGTTTTATAACGAGAAGTATAAATAACAAGAAAAAAAAAACCTTCACGAAGCCTACTACTACGTAATGTTGTACTGTATTGCTGCTGTGCCGTGCCAGTCTGCTGTAAAGCTGCTTTCTTTTTTTTTTCCCTACGATGAACAGCTGTGTTGTTTTGAATTTCGCCAGTGCATGTGAGTTAGGTATATTTTTGAAGACTGCTAGTCTTCTGGTCTCGAGATGATCCCCCAGATTTATTTCATTTTCTGGACATCTTCTTTAGTAAATAAATCGCTCTGTGCTTTGTTTTTATTTTTCTAAATTGATGCTGCATTGTGAAAAGAAGAAGTCGCTCGACCGAGAACTCGCTCTACCCTTCAACTGGTATTAACGATAATCATTTATAGACCTCGTGCCTGTTGTCCTCAAAGGGCATGTAGGTGGCATTTCAACACTTGGAAGCATTTTTGTAGCTCTGGAAATTTCCTAGCCTGAATGGTAAAACTGGTAATAACTATTTCAGATTCGCACGAGAGAATCCTTACTAGCTGCATACACAGACCACTTTTACCGTGCAGAGTTTGCACGAGGGGTTTACAGAAACTTGGCTTTTTGCAAACTGCCCTTGTGAATAAGTACAGATTTGCTCTGCTGGAAACTGGCTATAAGTTATGATGTCCCATTAGTTTTTTTATGGTCATAGTAGATATACAGTCTCAAAATTCATCTGAATGCTTTAATTTTGCTAATGTATATATTCCGTTATTGTACTTGCAAATACTGAAGCCTATAGTTCAAGGTATCCTTATTTATACAGACGCAGCAAATATTTATTTTTGAAAAACTGTCGATGGTTGCAGCTGGCCCAAGCAACTAGGGTATGTTTACTTCAAAGACACATTCCATATTGGAATATACTTCTTGAATGTTTCATTTGATTTGCAACACAGGCTGCTGGAACAGCTATCTCTGGTGGAGGTGATGTAACAGCTTATGCATGAAAGGATACAATAAAGCAACCGCTACTGCCAGTAATTATTTGTTGTTACTACTGTCGACCAAAAGTGCCACAGTGCTCTAATTTAAGTAATATGATATAGCGGAAAGAAAACAGCTCAAAAGACATAGCGCAAGAAAAAGGAAGATGCAAAAAAAAATGAAATTGTTTTCCTTGTGCTCCGTTTTTTTTTTGTGCTACTTTATTTTTGCAACATCGCCTAAACATGCACTTTAGCCTAATGTGCCATGTTTCAGACAAAGCTAGCTATAACACTACATTTTCTTTAATAATTGTGTTTTCTCTGTCTTGAGTGTTGATTAACTTGTCGTACTTCTCTATCACATTCTTTTGACAACAGCGCCTGCTGCAAACTGCATATCAAAGCTTAGCAAGGATTCTATTTTGAAAATAATTCAATACGTTTGTATGTATGTGTGTGTATGACACATAACAATAGTGATTTTATGTTTTATCGCATGTAAGAAACAGAAGCAGGCAGCAAAATCTGCCAAATGAACTGTCGGTCTGACGGAGTTGCAAGCTCCGAGGTTTGCAATGTACAGAACGCAACTTTTACACCATCTGCGTAAGAAAGTGCAATAAAATATTAAAAATTACAGAAATACTTAATATTCTCATGAGCAATGTATCAGTGTGTCAATACATTGTACATGCTAAATGAAAACAATGTAGCATGCCATGTGTAGCTCATAGAAATAGGACATGAAAAAATTTTTGTATACATAACTTCATGAGGGCTTTCAATTACAAAAATGTGAACTAGTCAACTTTCTCTTTAGATGGAAGCCCATAGGGAATGGAGCCATTTCTGTTTTAATCATTCTTTAAAGGAAGTGATTTCTAACTACTTCAGCTGCGCATCTCCCACAGGGCTTTGGGAATAGTTCTTTATATACTGTTTATGTGCAATGGTGCAGGGTGGCTGGCGTGTTGGGGAGCAAGAACGTGTGACCGTGGCTGCCTGGGAGGAGCCGCCTGCGATGCCTTTCATAGAGGACGACCTGCTATGGTGCCCCAACACTGACGGCAAGATGGTCGACCTCTCGTGCCTGGTAACCAACTATTTTTGTTGTGTGTTCAGTGTGTATGTGTGCATGCTGTCCGCGAAATCACTCTACACAAGACACTCCTGGTTTGTTTTTCTATGTGAAGCTCTTGTCACCTCTTACTGTGCGCTTTTGGGTAGCCAGGTACTTAAATAGGCTTCTGTCTTGCCTAATTCAGGGCCTCCTCATTAAAGGGCCAGTAAACAGTCTCTGACTTTTTAACGCCTCTCAAACACGCTCGCCAATTTGTACAGTAGACTGCATCGATCACATTTTTCTAATGTTACAGTGCTGCGCAGACCCTCCATTTCGAAAAACAATTCCTGCGCCAATTTCCTTCACCTGACATGTCCCCCTCATACACATAGTGACGCAAGCTTGCCCACGGGCAACTTTGCGTACCAGTGAGCTCGTCGATTGGTCCCTACTAAATGGTGCCTTGGCTCTGCAGTAATACAGTTTTAGCTGTGCACTGTGCATTTTTGTTTTCATGTGCTACCCTCATTTTATCATGCATCAACTCGCCCAGTCAGCAGTACTTGCCCTCTATCCTTTTGTAGAGTCCGAGGCTACCGGGAGAAGCGGTATTGCCAGAATGAAACCCTCTGAGATAAGGAGGCGTCTTGCTACTTTACCGCTAAGTGAAAGGTGCTCCTTGAACCGCTCTTTCTTACTCTTCCTTCCTTTGCCACTATGACACGTGCTCATGTCAGGGATGCCTGCTCGGTCATTGGCTGCGCAGCAATGACGTATCACTGATGTCGTGTCACGTTGCTGAAGTGGGTAACGTCACGATGATGGCATACGCCTTTCGTCCCCTTTGGCAGGGAAGGACGGTGAGGCCACACGGGCATTGGAAACCAGCTGAAACAAATGTTTTAAGCCATTTTAGCTCCCATTTAGCACGTATTCTCAAACTTCTTGCGGCAGCACGTTCACAAAGCAAAGGTGCGCATATTTCTCTTCATAACAATTTTTGGACCTCAGGGTTGTTTACTGGCCTTTTAAAAATGTCTAGTGGTGAGGTTTTGAAAAGTCCCATAGCAGAATAGTCATGTGCACCGTTCCTCGTATCGCACATGAGGTGAATTGTTGTCAAGCTCCCCACTGTTTATTGCTCAGGAAGCTGGTGTTAACTGCTCCGAACTTACACCAAAGGGGGCGTTGAGCAACTGAAAAGAACGAACGTTAACATTGTGACCACCTGGCAAGACCTTGAGGAGCCATAAAGAATCTGCATGCTATCATCCTAGTGCTACTATGCAGTGATGTAGTCGGGGGGCTGCCCATAGGACCAGAGCCAGCCAAGTCTTGGAGAGAAGTCAAGCAGAGTAGCCAGGGCTGGTAACATGAACGTTTATTAACAGTAGTATTTACATACTGAGGGTAGCGTGATACTACATGATCGAAAGTAGCATCTTTACATAAAGGTAACTCATGGAAGCTCTTTGTTAAAGCCTGATGAGAGCTTTTGGTAGCTTGTATTTTAAAACCTTGGTCTTCCCAAGTTTCTCTGCAGGGAGAAACAATTGAGTCCAGGACAGTGCAGTGATGAGATAATCTTCATCACCCCCCCCACCCCAAATTGGGAAGGTTGAACACTGCCTCCTTTTTAACCCAGGAAAGCGGGAAGAGGCATGCCCAGTTTATTGCATGGCAAGGAAAAAACACTACACAATACACAATGCGATGATACGCACAGCACAGCACAATGACATTTTGTCGCACGTGGAGATCAATTGCATAGTCCGGCGCTTGAAGGAAGTGAGCACGGATTACTCGGAAAGGAAAGCTTCTTAATTGCTGAAAAATTCGTCCTGGTCTGGGGTGGATTTAAAGCATATTCTGACAGGATGCAACACCAATTAAAAGCAACTAAGGATGCAACTAAGAATATTTTCTTTCTGAGAAATCCATACGAATTTCTTGTGGCTTCGTGCTGCAAATGGGTGGTTGTCTTTTTTCCCTTTCATAATAAGCTGTGTAATGTTCACTCTGCAATGGTCATTGTCATTCTAGCTGCACTAAAATTCTGGGCATCACGGACTCCTTATCATTGCACTGGTTGCTGCTGTCCCATTGCTGTTATTGTATGTCCCATTGCTGTTATCGTGTGCATGCGTACATACGTCCCAATTTGTCCTGTTCTTGTGGGTAGTTACTTTGCAACCATTAACTTGCTATATGTGCAATGGTCAATTCACATTAACTGCGAAATCGGTGGGTGTGCTCATTTGCCTGCTTTTGTTCAGATGTGGCTCCCAGGGAAAATCCAGCAGAGTTCCTTTTGCCTGCTCACTAAGACCTCTGGCATCTTCACCTCACCAGTAATGTACAGTTCTCAGCAATTCAAACACGATACTTGTAGCATGTATTTGCTAGTGCTTTTTGTGGCAACAGCCATGTGCAGCTTTGCGCTCTTTCTGCAAAAAGGGCCAGTCCTGGCCACGATGTGTTCTGCATCTCACATTTTGATTGCCGAGTACTGTACTATGCTGGTATGAAGCATTTGAGAAAATCATAGAGTCATCTGCCTCCAGTATAGCTTGTCAAATCAGATTCTACGTTTTCAGCTTGGCTTCATTGATGGTGGTATCGCTTTTCGTGCTCAAACACAAAGTAATCAAGCATGTGGGATGCCTGCAAAAGAATGAGCAGCTGCTGTGTGTATTTCTTTCAAAAGTAAAAGCATCCCTCAGCATGATATAATTGTTGTTTAGGCCAGCATCTAAACGGCACGTCTGAGGTCCCACAGCCAGTCAACTAAGTGTTCATCGAAGCGTGCCCAAGAAATAAGAATCTGCATAAACACCTCTGGCAATGTCATCTTAGCAGCCACACATACAAGTATAAGCTGCATTGGGTAGGGGTCATCAACAGTCAATAGAATGCACTTGTAGAAAGTTTAGCTACTGGTTAGGCACACAAGCATGCATGACAAGTCGTAGAATCAGATTGCTTTTATTACTGTTTCGAAGTCAGAAGGGTACCATAAGGTAGCACAAACCGCTGGAGTATCAGTCCGATATAGTCTGCATCAGTCTTGGTCACTCAGGTGGAAAAAAATAGCTTTTTCAAGAATTTCGGAATAAGAACAAGTTTGTGAAGTGTAGCTGATATGGCAGTACAGAGCAAGCCAGCTTGATGGAGTTAACTGAGGTCATCTAGTTAACAAAAGGCAGGCACAGCCTTCAATATCTTCAGTTCTTTGTTCAGTTGCTCCTCTGCAGCTCTTGAGAGGATGGAGAAATCTTTCTTTCCCTAGGAATGCAGTCTGTGTGGTGACACATTATGGCCTGTCTACAGTTAACCACCAGCACTTGTGTAGAAAAAATTGTTGTGTTTGTACTTTCATTCCTTGGTTCAGCATACACTCAAACCTCAATATAACGAACCTGGATATAATGGATTATTGGTTATAAAGAAGGAAATGCAGACTACATACAGTGCTGCAAATATATGTTAATAACGAATTGCCGGATATGAAGAAGTTTATCGTGGCACATGTGACTTTGTTATAAGGAGGTGTTAGTGTGTCTCGATTACCTTAAAAGGACACTGTGAATGCCTTTCTAATGGGAATGCACTCTATTTCTGCAGGCAAGGTGGCAAAGTTAGTCATAAGTCTAGCTGTGTCTGCCTCTTGCAGAGAAAGGGTTACGACACCTAACTCAGCTTTATTCGTCTCTTCATTTTGTTATATGTTTAGTCAAAGAATCTGAGAGATAGACGTGCGTATATGTGCAGTTACAGGCAACTCCTTCATTTTCCACACATACTCTTTCTTAAAGAAACTGGACAGTAAGCATGGCACGTGTAGTCAGATTACAGAATGCTGTGTTGTCATCATGTAGTCTCGTGCAGTGCTCTGCTTCCACTATGCTTGTGCACTTGGCTTGGCCATGGTGGGGCACAATTAGGATTGAGGCATGACAGTCAATGCACGAATGGGTGCCTAAGTTCTGTGCTCTAAAAGAGCCGTAGTTGGGGCACAGCAAGAGGCTGCGTAATTCTCAGGCACGCGTGACAATATGCTCTCTCTGCAGTGAAAATGGGCATTTATAGGACTGAAAGATGTCTCCGTTATTTTTCACTGCCACTCTAGATTCACCAAACACATTTAGGCATGGCCTCAGCTCTTTGAAACTAAGATAGGCTTAGTAAGTTTCAACACATGTGATGTTTCCACAAGATATGCCTAAACATGAGAAATGAGGCATGCTGCTTCTTGACTGAATTGTTCACGCAATCAAGTGAAGTTATATTGGCTATGCTGAAACTATTGTTTGTTGGTTGTACGAACTCTCTCATTTATCTGATGCATCTTGTTTATACTTATTTTCTAAGAGCTGGCTCTCCTGCTTCACTTGGGAGCATTTCTCATTGTTCAAGGGGCTATTAATAAGTTGCAGAAAATTTCAGAGGTAGTCGGCTTTCAAGCAATTTGAGGCTTAAGCGTAGAAACATGCAGGGCTGCCTTTCCTCTTATGTCTAATGGACGCACATGGAAGCACATCTGATTCCAAGTAACTGAGAACTAGACAGCATCACCCTGTGCAGACACTCACGCCAGGCCACATATACAAACGTTTGACTGGTGTTTCAGTGATTATTTGTGTTTGTACCTATTTAGTGTGATGTGACATTCTTAAATGAGTTTGAATTGCAACTGACTTTAAAGCACGCTGGTACTTAAATAATATGTTAGAATAGCAGAGTTTACTTTTCAAATCTGTCGTCTGTGTGCTTCAAGATCTGTTCAAGTATGATTTGAATTCGCCATCCCGCTATCTTGAAAAGTAGCACACTAGGGCAAGCTTGGTGCGAGTCAGTGGGCTCCGAGAAAAATTTGAAGCTGCAATGGAGGAATTGCAAAGTTTTTTGTGGTGGTCCAGACACTGTCAAAGACGAGACCACTAGCCTTAACATGAAAAAAAAATATTGTTCAAATGTGAGTATTTGTTTTTGATGTGGTTTTTGTTGTTATAAAAAATGTATGGCTGGGTGTACATTTGAACATGCACGGGCCAAACAGCCAAAATCCATGACATGCCTTTTTGCATTTCTGCACCCACAGGACAGTGGGCCCAATGTGCTGGTGGAACCACAAGGGGATGTTCTACAGGAACTGACGCACACAGATCTACATGGGCTGGGTATCGATGAAGAAGAGGAGATCCTACAGCAGCTGTCTGACCCCAATTTTCGAGATCGATGCCATCTTTGCCGACTTGCATGAGCCCCAGGGGGCACCTACTGCCGTTGCCGTGGCACCCCCACCCCCACTGCTCCAGCCACAGGATGATATCAATGGCATGATTCGAAAACGCCGCCGCCGCCGAAGTGACGATGGCCCTTCAGAGTGCAATGGACTACAGCCATCATTCCAATCGGTGGGAACTTGAGCCTTTCTCCTCAACATTTTCTCACTCTTTCACGATCCACGCCTGCATAATTTGAGACGTTTACAAAAGGTGCAGTTGCCTTTAAGTGGATCTTGCCAGTGTAAGCCTTCAGCAGCGTTCTTAATTATTGCTGTTTTTATCATGCAATTATATCTGGCTGGATCACAATGCCACCTGTGCTTGAAAGAATGAGCTTGTTATACCAGAACTATCAAAATGCCTACCTTGACTACATAACTAAAAGAAACTGTTACAGCCCTAACATGCTCATGTTGGTGTACAATTAACAAGTACTGTTCTTTCGAAGCAGTCAGTTGCTGACATACAGCTTCTTTTTGCAAGTCTTCAAAGTGTGCTAAGACAATGTTATTAGTGCATGTATTCTTAAAATACTAGTTAAATGTAAATGCAGTGTAGACTTGATTTGTTCAGCGTATGAAATATCATTGCGATGCTTTTTAAGAAAGAAAAGCAAAGTCTTTCTGTTTATTCTTTGTCGAACACATGCTGATTCTAAAATATTTTGGTGCCTCAGTTCCTAAAGCATGCCTCCAATCATGGTTATGTAGTATTTCAATATTACCTGCTCAAAACACATTCCAAGTGCAATGTCGATATAGTCTGTGTCATGACGTGCGTCGAGAGTTGAAATAATTTGCACATCCCAAAAATCATAACTAGTGGTCACGTGATTATCATGAGGTTCTGGTACATGGCAGTCAGCTTAATTGGTCGAGCTGTGGCAAGCCAAATGATAACTCTGTCACCTTAAAGCTGGACTTACACACACCACATTGCTAATTGTTTTCCTTGTTCATTCTGCGTGCAATGTGGAAATGAGCGCGGTCCTCTGATGCCGGTTCTCTCATAATGCACTGAGGTCCTCTGACCTTCTCTCCACAATTATCTCACCAGATTTCTCTAAGATGACCATGCTGTGGCTTGCTGCCGCTGCACCAGGACTGATGTCTGACCAGCATGTCAGCTAGCAACATCACGTGACCGCAACCTACAATTTTACTGCAGCTACGAATAGGGTTCGAAATTGGGTTTTCTGTGTCTGCCCATTAGTTTGTCCGTCTGTACTTTCTGTGACAAAAATAAATAAAAGTGTTCTTGTGTGTCACAGCAATGCCCAGTGACATGCATCCTAACTGACACCTGCCATTTCAATATAGTGGATGCTGGAAAAGTTGCATTCCTTCATTATAAGCAGGAAGTGAATTTCGCGCGAGAGGATGTGAGTTACCAGAAGGGCAGGAAAGTTTTCAAATCGTCGAGAAGCAACAAAAAAGAAAAGGACCGAAGATTCTATGAGTCGAGAGCGCAGGTTTTTTGGCTGGTTGGTACCACATCATAAAAAACAGGAAATGGCACAAATAGCGAGACAAACATACACCATCTGTCCAATCGCTGATACAATCAATGACTAATATTTCTGATAATTTGGATGCACTGCCACATACCCCAAAGAGCTAATGGATATGGATGTATAAAGTATATATACAGTCGAACACGGTTATATTTAACCCACATATATAGAATTTTCGGGTGTATCGTAAGCTCGTAAGCTATCCACTTGAAATTCCTTTGTATAAGATAGAAATTAGTACATTTACATTGAACGCTATTTTTACCTGCCTTAAGATATATCGAACACGGCACGAGCTGGAAGGTGTGCTTTAGCATTCACAGTGCCCGGCGACCTCCGCGCGGCACCACAGCCTTCTCCAAAACTCAACATACTCTCTCTAACTTGCGGAACGGCTTTTTTTTCCCTCATTTCTTTTTCCCTCTCTCATGCTTTCTCCGTCTACCCGTCGGCTCAGAGAGCAGGAATGAAGGAGCCGACGTCCTCCTCTTTTTGCATTTTCTTTTACTTTTTTGTTGCTGTTTTAAGAGTTTTGTTTTGATCAACCAACCACTGCTCGTGCCTTTTGCTGTTGCCGTCGCAGGTGGTCATCGTCTCGCGAGCGCTTTGTTGCTTCTGTTTTCACATCGCCTACGTACCACAGCATGTGTAAGACGCTGTGCCGTGCTCCTATAAGGGCTGCAAAAATTAGGCGTCTTTTCCTTCCTCTAACCACAACCACCCGCCCCATGTGCAGCATTTTTCCTTTGCGTGCGTTGTGTGCAAAGCAGCTGCGGACTCCTTGAATTGTAGACTTTTCGTGCAGCTACGGCCAGCGTCAAGAAGCACAAGACCCTTGACTTTGCTACCAAGTTGAAGGCTATTTAGCATGTTGAGGCGGGCGAGAAATGTTCGACTGTTGCGGACGACTTCAGGATACCATGGAGCACTCTGAGTACCTTGTTGAAGAACAAGGCAGATATCAAAGGAAAGGCGGCGGAGCAGCGAACCTCTAGAGCCTGTCATGTGCGCGCTTTTGGCTACGAGAATGTAGAAAAGGCACCCTATGCCTGGTTTTTAGAAGTGCGCACGAAGAACATTCGGGTGGATGGCCCGATGCTCATCGCCAAGGCCAAATGGTTTGCCGTTGCACTCGGTGAAACAACTTTGCCGACAAGACCGGTGGCTTCACCGAGTTAAGCAGCGCTACAACATCATTCGCTAAAACCGATTCTGGCGAAGGCAAAGCTGTCAGCAGCCAGGACATCCAGCAGTGGATGACGAAGGAGTCGCTGGAAATCTCTGTGAAGTTTGCTCTCCACTGGAGATCTTCAATGCCTGGCTAGACGTGAAGACAGACACAGTCGTCAAATGCTTCCGCAAGGCAGGCTTAGAGATGGCGGAACTTGCGGAAACCGGTGAAGATGACGACAATGAGCGCATAGACGACACGTTTCACGAGTAGTCGTCCCGCTTCCCGGCAGCAGTTGCACATCAAGTGCCTGCGAACGACTTCGAGGAAGCGGACTGCAATGTCGAGGCCGTTGCGAGCCTCGCTGACGAAAACATAGTAGCTGCGGTCACAGGGACCCAGGATTCCCAGGCCGACAGCTCATGTGACAAGGAGGATCAGTCTGGACAAGGCGCTGGCTACACGCGCGTACTCTGCCGCTGAAGTGGCGGCAGGGTTCGGCGTCATTCGCCATTGTATTGGCCACATGGAAGGAACCAGGCTGTTTCACCTGAACAGCCTTGATAAGATTCAGACTAGGCCCTTCAAGATTTCAAAAACGAAGAAGCAGGCCAACATAAGCTATTTTTTTTTTCATGCAAATAAATCATGCTGTTGAGGCGTGTGGCAGAAGTAGTTGTCAATCTTGAATGCAGCCTATTGTAAGTGATGATCTGCTACAGGTAAGCTCTCGGGGCCTCTATTTTTATATGGAGTTTTTCATATATTGCAATAATTCGCGGTCACCTTCGAATTCGATATATCCATGTTCGACTGTGTAAATATTTACATTCTTCCATGAATGCAGGTCCAAAATATCTTGCAGACTTGAATTAGCATGCTCAACTGCTGATAAACTTGCAGGTGCTTTAGTTTCCAAGTAGTCATCTTTGCTGGATGGAGTTGTATAGAGCAGCCCACGAAATGTATTGCAAAGAGGCATATCAAGAGTAGAAACAAGACACTGTCAAGTAATCTTAATTTCTTAATTACTCCAGCAAGCTTGCCCGCAATTTCCTATCATTGTACAAGCACTGAGACACTTGATGATGTTTTTACAAGCTTTAGAACTATTTGGAATGTGCGTTACTTAAGCCCTTGTCGAAATTTTAGAGGACCGGTAAAGAAGTGGAAACAACCTTGAATAGTGGCCTGGCTTTAAATTTCGGTAGAATGCAAGCGAGAATATGTAAAGTGTTACGTTTTAAGATTCGCTATACTCGGAGCACGTAAGCTGGTACTATAAAAATATTTTAAACTTGAAATATAATGAATCAGTGTGAGGGCAGTATGTTTATTAAGGGAGACTAAAGGCAAAGGACAATTTATGTCAGGGGGAATGCAGAATGTACGGCGTCTAAAACGGTAACGGCAGTATTATCAACAGCAGTGCCTTACTAACAAAAAAATTAAGCTAAATGCCTCCGAGGTTTCAGAAAATTGTTCAATGCCGTTGTGGCTACTGTGGCTCCTGCTACTTTCACTCTGCTGGTACTGCTGTCGGCGGCTGTGCAGTAAAGGCGGGCAACGTTGGGCACAAAAACAGGGACGTCTACGAATCCGCTCTCACGGGCGGGTTATTTAAAGCATGTTAACGCGGTGTAAACCATTAAGACCTGATTTCACTTCAAAATAGGCACTTCCTTGGCACAAACTAGCATACGAGGGTTTGTGGACTGCTACTAGAACAATCAATGTCAACCTAATATTTACTTTTAGTGTCCCTTTAACCTTGAATTGGAGTAGTGTGGATTTTTCTTTGTATAGATGTTTTGACGGTGGAGCACTCTTTCACAGCAGTGAAACCATCTTTACCAAAGGTTACATGCCTATTCGATAAGTGCTTTCACAGCTTAGCATTCCTTTACTGCAATTCAACCACCTTTACAGGGGGGAGCGTTACAGGCAGACTAGTAACATTTATTTGTTTATTTTGAATAATTCGAAATTTTTGGCAATTTAAATTTGAATTGAAGCAAATTCGAATACAGTATTATTCGTTCAGTTATTCATTCAGTTATTCATTCGTGCAAGCCTAGCCTTGATGTTAAGCGCACAAAAAACTGCCAGGCCTGCGCAAAACATGCAGCACAGTCATGGCGAAAGCTAGAAGAGCAGCTTTTCTAGAGCCTTTTTAAACACTCTTGGGGCAACTACTGCAAGTACATTTGCACGGTACTCACTACGCCATAAATCATCATTTTGCGCAGTGTGGAAGCGTTTGCAATGACATTATATTGCCAATCTTCGCAGAAGTGTGGTACCCGCTACTATACGCTTGTAAGGCACGATGTGCACCTTGTTGATGCTGTGGCTGAGAACGATGAAGAATTATGTGTGAGGCTTTTCTAATGGTTTGGAGCACTCAATGACCTACTCGTTGCACCATTTGCATTGTGTGATGCCTGGTTGTTTGTTCACTGTTCCAAAACGCTTTATTACACATGCTAACGCACTTCCTTAACCAACATGAAGCCTGCACAGGGTAAGCTTGCAACGGTGTTTCAAGCACGAGCATAGCTTATTGGTAGAGCACTGGGCTGCCATCCGAAAAACCCGGGTTCGATTTTCATTCGGTTCTCAGTGTTTTTTTTGTGTATTTAGTCATGTTTGTTTTCTTATTTTGCACAAAAGTGGTTACGGAAACTGGCAATGGCGGACAACTATGGTGCTCTACAGAATCAGCCCTTATTGTTATCTCAGAATAGCTCTCGCTGTGAAACAAGCTAAAGCTACGAAAGACTTGAGTACATAGCAATGTTACATTGTGTTTTGTGACATCTTTATTTCTGTGTGCTAAACCTCAAAATATGCAGGACCAACCATCCCACCTGTCTATTGTTCAATTTTGTTATCGCTTTGACTAAATGAACAGCGGAAGCAATACCAAAAGAGGAAATGACATACACAAGAGAAAGATCTAGCACATGTATTCAAAGTTGTTTAATGGCATCCTATGGTGTTACGAAACAGAGATCGTCAGACAAGGGCAGCAACGCATCCAGCATGTTGCATCTTATAGCCATGAAGGAATAGACACATTGTGGCCTCTGCATGACTTTTTCATTGCACTTATAAACCTATATTACATCCCCCGTATGCTATGTGGAGCCGCAGCTGTTGCACCACTGCAACAGTTATTGAAAGAAATACTAATAGCATAACGATTAAATTCATCTATGTTCACAAAAGGCTGCTTTTACTTTAAAAGGGAGCTTGGTAAGATAGAAAACATGCAGAAATAAAAAAGTCTAATGGCAACATGGCTCTGCCCAGTTATAATGACATAAATCAGTCTGGTGGTGTCCGCTCAAGCCTTGTAAATTCTTAAATTTTTAAACATGAAGTATATTGTTCACAGTATTGAATCAATACGCTATACATCCATTTAGAAGTTGTGCAAGGCTGCTCTATGGCCGTTCAATCACTATTGTTGAACTATTTGAGCACTTTGGCAAAATGGCACACTGATGACTTTTACAACCCATTATACGACGTATTCCAATTTTAAGTCTTCTTTATTATCTCTTTGACAGCCACTTGCTTGCATTAAGGTGTAGCGAATGAATTCGTTCCTGGAATTCTGTATTTTGTGGTTTGCAGGTGACTGTGAAAGTAGAGCCAGGGTTAAGTCAGGCATCATGTGTGAAGAGTGAGCGCCAAAATTCAAGCACCACTATCCACCTTCCAGACAGCACACAGGATATCGGCAGCCCAAGCTTGACTCAACTCAGCCCATGTAAGTTGGCCTGTCTCCTGGCAGTACAGAACATTTGCTTGCTGGAAATTCGGGTAAAGAAACGACACACAGATTGAGAAGTACGGCGAACTGTACAGGGTGTGCCGATATGATAAAGAGCACACAACCAGTACTTAGGCTACGATTACTATGATAGTTTGACTTCTACCTTAAGATACACCTACACTTGCTGGTACCGACCGATTGCAGACTGTTTGCAAATAGTGACCAAAAGGTGACTAAAGGGGACCAATGTTCACTCCTCCATGCAATTTACGCCATGGTTCATATACACATGGTTTTTCAAACAGCACAAAAAGGGGACACTGAAAATAGACCACCAGACAGGTGCTGACTTCCAACATGTGCTCCCTTTCATATCGGTTCTCACTGTACACCGCACCAACAGATGTACTACTACCAACTGTGGGAATTGAGGCTAGCCCGCCGCCTTTGTGCGGGCTTTGCCGCCTCTTTCTGCGTTCTCATGTCCCAACATGACTCCTCTCCTTTGTGGTCTGCCGTGCTGGGGAAGCGGGGAGTGACGTTTAACCCCCCTCAGCCGGTAGCGAATGTCAACTGTGGCGCCGCGCACGGAGTCTCTTGGGACGTTTTGCGTGCGCGCGTCGGGAGCGAGAGAACCTCTCCGGGGACTACATGGGGTAAGCACACATTTCTTTTCCATCCGTCGGCTCCCTTTGTTTGGGGCTCGTTCCGACTTCGCCAACAGCACCTTGCGCCAGCGGCGAACGCTTACCTTATGTCGCCCACCCTTCCGAGCGCTAGGCCGAAGAGCAGTGCGGTGTCCTAGTGCGTGGTTAGGCTGCACCGATCCGTATCATTTCGAAGCCAACGCGAGCACTTTAGCCCTCGCTTGAGCAACTGGGCCTTTGTCCCGGTGTCTCTGTGTATCACTTTTCTATGGAGACGTGCTTGTGGCACCCCTGTGTTGTACTTGTCGCCCGGGGCGTGGATAAGCCCATTTGCTTTTGACAATGAAGTGTTGACAATGAAGTGTCAATGAATTGACAATGAAGTGTTGAGACCTTGAGCAGTATCGTGTTCTCGCCACGGCGACAATTAGCGCATTCGCTGCGGCTCGCTAAGACCGAACCCACGCTATTGGCCATACTCCTTCAGGATACATGTATACAACACAACATAAATTCATATGCGAGTGAATCGAAAACAACTAAATTCTACATATAATTGCATTTCTAAATACAATTGAGTTTTTTAACCCCTTAATTTTTGACAAGCTCAGCTAGTGCTTGCCCAACTGTGGCAAAACAGTTTTGGAGGACTTTCGCTCGTCTGCTTGAAATAAAATGTTCTAACGATCGTTTTGAACGAGACTTGCTTGTCTCCAGGCTTGCTGGTGTGTTGCTTCATAGATGGCAGATTCGCTGAGAATTTTCTTTTATATTTAACCACCATTTCGCATTTTTTCACAATTTAGAAAGTGTTGTTCAGTGAAGGTGATGCATGCGTTGCTCATGCAATGACGTAGAAAAAGTCTTTCATTACTGTACACCTCTTCAGGCGCTAATTTTTCAGGTGCTGAAGATTAATTTGACAACTTGATGTGTTATGTTCGCCAGTTTCTCTACCATGGCATTATTTTGCGAATCATGAGACACTAATAGGCCATGAGTCATGAACTTCATTGTGCTAATTTGATTAATAGATGCCTGAATTTTTTTTCGTCAGTCATAACATGTTTTCTTTTAGAAACAAAAGATTCAAAATCAAAATTTTAAAAAATGAACAATATCAGACAAATTCTTTCAAAAATTAAATATTAAGGAGTTAAGATGGTTAGGTGAGGCTCAACGACATGCATTAGCACTGCATATCACAATCCCGCATAACATTCCTGTGCTTTACACGTGTTTTAACAGGCCTTTTCTTGTTTACATTTGAATTTATGCTTGTGGCCGCCCGCAGGGGGCCAAAATGAACATATCACATATTTACAGTACCTTCTACCACAATAACCCAGTGGGGCAAGCTCGAATCATCAAGGCTTTGATACACACAGGATACAATAATTGCATTGGTCCTCGTGTTTAAAAACTCCACATTTGAAAGACACCGTACCAAGATAATGAGCAAAAGGAGGCATGAAAGCTGTGTGCTATAATCATGAACTTTAAGAGACACTGAATAGGTATGTGAAATAAACTATGCTTCAAAAGTTGGCTTGGCAACCTTTCCTGCTATGCAAGAAGTCCTTGTAAGAAGGAAAAAGAGGTGAAAAATTTTAAATGGGTGGTTACAGCACACTGAAGTACCCACAGAAATCCACTATAACATCATGTATATATTGGCTTCATCTTGTAGTGACCCTTTAACTGTTTATTGGTAATGAATAATTGTAATACATTCTAAAAGCATCTCACTTCCGAGCTTTGATAATCTATTTTGCGATGGGACAACCCAAATACGAGAAAACAATCTAATATGTACTTTGTAACACTGACAGACTAGCACCCGAGTTGCAGCGGCCAGTGCTGTGAAGGAAAGCTTGGCTTGCAATTTCGTCAGTATAACTTACGTTTCTACCAAACCTGTGAGAATATTCAATGAGGGAAAAGCACCTTGTCGGTCCAAGCTAATCTAATATTCCTCTGCAGTGTCTCTTTAATGCATGAATTATGATGGTGAAATTGGTATAGGAACAAATATCAAATATGTGAGAAGATAACGTGTAGCAACCTGTCAGTGCAGGCGTACTTTATTTCATGCAATCATGTAGAGCACTTATAATTACTCATAGGCAAAGCCCATAGCATTTAGCTTATAATTTTATGCTTCCTGTACTCGTGGGTCTGACAATGTCTCTTTTGACATAAGTAATCTTTGACGTAAGTCTTGTAAACTAGTTACCGGAAGCAAAAAGACATTCATAATTAAAAGCTGCTGAAGACAGCATGCCAATTAATGAATGGCATTTTTAAAGTTTTTCACTTACTCGTTTTGAGCAGCTTGATTAATTTATGGGGGAAGAGGCTGCACACACATAATTCAAAGTGGTCTGAAGCTTTGAATGCGTTCTGATATGTTCTGGTTGTGACTGCATTCGTTAGGGCTCCTTAGATGACCAGTTAATGTGTTCATAGCATGGAGTGTATGGTTCATTTATTGCAAGCAACTTTGAAAAGCGGCTGTGCAACTCAAGAATGGACTTTAGGAATACTACAGTTCGAGTCAATGAAATTCGATGGAAAACGTTTTTTCGCACAACGATGGACGATATGCGAATGGAAGAACCACAACAAGATGTTGATCACTGGAAATATATGACAAGATGAGTCGTCCATTGCATTGAGAATACATGAAATGGCTCAACAAATGATTGCTACGCTTGTAATTTCTCAGATATGAATTTATATTAGGCTCCTCCAGATGCTGGCGGCACTTTTTACATCTTCTCACGAAATGGCGTTACCACAGATGAGAAACCAAGGGAATGTCAAGCAAATCAGGACATTGCTTAAAATAAGTCCTTCAAGGAGACCAACAGCATCAGCTAACGTCCAATCAACTTCGGTCAGCAAGGCCATCGAAGCTCCTGTCAGTGCCATGACGACTCCAGCAGAGATGACACTTGGATAGAATAAACTGTTCTTCATGATGCATGGGACGACTGCCGTACAGTACGCATTCCTCTGCGATGAAAGCAGTTAGGAATGATGATCAGTAATCTGCTATAATATCTTGTCAAACATCAAAGACAATCATTATGCAAGAGGAGACGCAGGATACTTGCTTCGAACGCGATCGAATAAAATAAAGGGCTGCAATCTTACAGTTTTAATCTGCCAAATAGAGCGGACTTGATACGTCTTGCACTGGTAGTTATACAGCGATAGATGGCAATTACGGGCTTGGTCAAGGTAAGTCTTTTGCATAAACGACGTAACTGCAGTTTTTAATCGCCGAACCGTATGATGAACTACGCAAGTGTGATGTGTGGTTTGCTTTCTTTTCGTCTCGGAGAATTCGCTTCATTAGGTAATCGTGCATGTCCTTATGCGTGTCGTGCTTTATCTTTTTATAAAGCAATACGATCAAATCTCATATGGTGCTGTATAAAAGGGTGATTCCTTCAGGTTGATGAAGATGTATTTTATTCCGCCATAAATGTGTGCAAAATAAAATGTTGCGCCTACTGATGATCATAGATGCGACTGATTTGCAAGGCACACCAGAACAGCTCTTACATTTTTATCATTTAGAACATGGTGACCATTGGGCAACTGTGGGAAAAGAGAGTCCCTACGTGCAAAGGATATCTCATTCTATATCAGGGCTGCACAGTGCTCACTGAGTTGGGGAAAAACTAGAGGTATGCTATTATACTGCAGCAGAATGCATAGGTAGTAGCTACAAAGGTTTCTGGAACGTGAAATCCGTTAAAAGGGTAAATTATGTATCTGTTTGGCTAGCATATGTTACAAGTGTAGCAACATCCTAAGTTTGTGCAACATTTATGCAATTATAACGTGTTCAAGGCATGTGCCGAGTCCCATGCAGACTTCCTAAATATAATAGCAGCAAATAAAACAATAAGTGAATAAAAGCGTTCTACTCCGCTGTTGTGTTCCATAAACTTCTGTGGTCATTTACGGTTAGATGTACGAAAAGATGGAAGGGCTCCTGCATACTACAGAGTTGGAACTAAGGCAGCATCATATGAGATCACCTCATGTAAGTAGCGTTTTTTGTTATTAACCTAAATGAATAGCTTTTCACAATCGTTTAATAGGCAGCAGTCGAAATATGTGTGCAAGCGAATACAGAAGGTTCAAACGTGTTGCCCAAAGCACTTAGTGGTTGCACTGTTTAAAAAATAGTGCCTGTTGGCAAGTTTTCTTCCAAGCAACTGACAGGAAAAAGAAGAGATGGCAGTATTGGTACGTTGAATAGTACCTCATACCATATGTAGCAACAAACAGAAGTGCATAAAGGTGATTGGTAACACTGATGACAGCTTAAGCTTGAACAAATTGCACAGCATTCTAAATGTAAGACTTTTTTTTTTTGTTGAAAAAAGCTCGACAGCTGTTGCCACTGTTGAAACAGTTTAGAAAACTACCCTCCTCGAGGTAACTCAAGCAATCAAAGCACTTGTGTAAGGTATCTAGTTTTGTGGCACTTGTCAGATCGAAATATAAACTCCATGACAGCTGATATATCTTGTGAAAGCAAGTAACGTAAGAAGCATCTGTAGAGCATGACTGGGGATAGCAGGGTCACCAGATCTAACAACGGGAGTGCCATCTGCTCATAAATACTTCCTGCAGTACACGTACGCTAGAGCATTCTTTAATGCAGAAGCCCGAAAACCCAAATTGCAAAAATATTTGCAAAAGCATTGCATTGACATATTTCACGGCACAGCACCGAAAAGCTTATACGGACCTTCAGTTTCCTTCCCTCAACTCCTTCGCCAGTGCAGGATAGCCCACATGGGCTTAGCCCTGGTTAATCTCCCTGCCTTCCTTCCATTCTTGTTCCCTCTCTCAGGTGATTGGTAAAGTGAGCTATAAATTGTCAGAAACCTTGACTTTTATAGACATTAAGTATGAACAAACACTTACAGAACATTGACAAAAATTGGCAAGAAAGAATGAATAGTTTTTTTTTTTTACAGATATTGTGAACATGTGAAAGTAACTGACGTGTTACAAGAGGTGCCGAAATTCAACACCTAAAAAAAGCGAATCTCTAGTTGTAACTGAAAACTGTGTGGACTTAGCCCCTAGAACTGTTGCTGAGTGATATTTATCCTTGATAGTGATTCACTATGCCGGCAGGATGTTGAGCTGCAGTTGAGCTACTTTAGCAAAGCTATTCAACATGGTTAATACATGTGCATCATAACCTGCGTGTTAAAAATAAATTACGAGCTAGTTGCTTATCACTACTCATGTGAGATGAGCAGTACTGTTTCCAGATAGTGTTTCATAATTCATTAGTTTTTTTTTAAATAAAGCCTGCCTAGACTACAGCGTATGGAGTATGGTAGCTTCCGGTTCCAAAAGTATCTGTAATTGCACTGATATTATCGTGCAACTTATTCCTGATTAATCATATTTTGAATGGTTGAATTCAAGGGCATCGTGAAAGGTAGGTAATGCAATTTTCCTTAATAAAACAAGAGCTCTGTTGAAGATTTGACAAATTGTTACTGTAAGAGTGGCAACTGTTTTCGAGGAAAACTTATTTTATTGGTTAACTTGAGCAAGGGTGTGGTAAGTCTGTGCTGTGAAAATGCAAAATTTTTAAAGGTTATGAAGATTAAGAGGAAAGTTAAGCAAACGCCTAGTTGTAATGAGACCATTGGCTACAACAGCACTCTCGCACGACCAGTTATGGGAAACAGGAACAATAACTTCACCTTTTGTAGCATACTGATCAGGTACACAGGCACAAAATAACAGCAATCAATTCAGGAATAATAATTTCACCTTTTGTAGCATAATCAGGTACACAGCACGAAATGACAGCAACCAATTATGATGACCTGTGACATCAATATGCCATAGTTCTGGTGTTAAACTTGTTCCAAAGTACTCGATAATTTGTTCAAGATGACTACAATTTGTTTTCCTCCTGTCTGTGCATGCTTTTACGGAAAAGCCGACATACTTCAGCAGCGGAAAAATATGTTTACCTGCAACCTCAGATGCCGTAAAGAGACCATGTGACATGCATCTTCAGTATCGCATGCTCGAGTGATCATGTGGAGAAAATTTCGCTTGACACCGTTACTGCAAAGCTTTTGTCATTAGTGAAATAGACATCAGGCGTTATAAATTTGATCGTGCAGAAAAATGTTTTAAATATTTCAGGCTTCATTGGGATGACATGTATGATATAGTACTAGGTTGGAGCTGCTATGCTTGCTTCATCAAATACCAGTGATCAGCCTATCTATATCCATCACCGAAACAAGGAAGCCTCGTGAACTTCGCAAAAGGATTGAGCTGCCTGAACTGATTCCAGAAAAGCGTTAGGCTTCGTAGGTGATCGTGTAAATGCCTGGGCATCAATCCGGGCTGGCTGTTTTGGTCCTTTGTTGCCAAGAGGCACATTTTGTTCAAGATGCACTTTGCATTAACAAATTTCAGTTTACTGAGTACCATGAATAGTTTGGCCTTATGATTATTCAAAACTGCCTCCACAATTCCTCTTTGGAAGTCATGTGTGATAGTGGCAGCTGTTGCTGCATCGGATGCTGAAGTAGTCGATTTTGCCCATTTCCAGTTGTGTGTTAACTGGCCTCGCATACATTTCACAGAAGAGGGTAGAGGCAGAGTATTCGCTGGTTGATTTCAGGCAAGCTTGCATAGTTACAGCTCATTCTCAAAAACAGTTTTCGTGGTTAGAAGGTTTCAAGATGTTTCATTCATATTTCAGCTGTACTGGCTCAATTATCTTTTTTGCAACTGGGTATGCAAAGTCTCTGGCTTTCCATAGGGGTTAATTTACCTTATATTTGCCTATTAGGAACTACATAAGCCCTAGTAGACATCGTGAAAATATGATTAGCGCAGAAATGAGTCGCCTCCCCCCTTTAATTTTGCAAATTTCTGGGAAGTGCGGCGATTTTGGCATAGTGTAAGAGTGATTTACTAATACAAGAAAGCTTTTTTTTTTAGTGTCCCTTTTATGAATAGGCCGAGTGACTGCCCAAGCTGACTGAATTGCTAAAATGCTTTGTTCTCTTAATTTCTGCTCGATGATATTTGGCAAATCTTGATGGTTTATATGCCAACACAATTTTAAGGCCATACTAGCATGAAACTACACAGTAATTTTGACCCTGTGTGGGGTTCTTTAAACGTAATCGAAGTACAAGGGCATTGTTGCATTTCTCCCACCTGGAAACACGGCTGCTAGGGACAAGAAATCGAACCTGCATTGTCATGCTTGGCTAGTGCAACATCTTAGTTACCAATGTGGTAAGATGCCACACGATTGCACTGCTTAGCACCTATTACTGAAGTCTTCAATCACAGCTTAGCAAGTGCACCAAGCTGCTGCCTAAGCTGAGAAAGTTCCTTGCCTTATTTTCTACAATCTCTGCTTGAGTGGACACCGGAAATTCCTATGTATATAGTAATGCTGATTGCCAGTAATGAAGTGGGCTCACAGCACAATTGAAAAGGGGAGTCTTTGGCTGGAACAAGATGCTTGCTTGGGACGAACGTATTCCTTTATGAAAGCAGCGTTCTACCAACAACTCCACTTGAATCCATTATTTGTTCAGGCTCGGGAATTAACGCGCTGATACGTTGCAGCTAAAACAACTGATGGGAGATGCATGCTTGTAAAGGCAACCTCAGGTTTCAAATGCCAGTGAAATGCTAGGTCTGATACTAAAAAACACCTTGTTCAGCTAATGAGGCTTGCAGCCTATCTTCGATGCACAAGTGAAAACCCAAGAATACACTGTAACAAAATCGCCAACTGCGGTAGGTGGTACGATTCGCATAAAAGATTTGAGGTGTGCATTCTACAGTAACATAACTTGCGTTCTGGTCACGCTCCTTCAGTCTTTCATTGACCTAAGAAAAAGCCTCATTAGTCGTAATAATAGTGATCCTTATTGCCACTGGCTAGACTAACCCAAGAAATGCATGTTAGCATGGTTTCATGCACAATACTTCCACACAATAATTTTCATGCTGTGACTGTGTTGTTTCCTCCATAGTGCACCTACAAACATGACATTCAAGGTCTTGGTCTCAAGACAAACTGCTATTCTATAATGAGCGCTAGTGCACAAATGAATGCAAAATTAAAACCGTCAGGACTCTCGGTGGATACCTGAGAAAACAAAACGCCAGGTCTGTGCGAAATGCGCAGCACAGTCACAGTGAAAGCTGGAAGAACAGGCCTTGAGATCCTTTTCTGAACACTTTTGGTAACTGCTACAAGCACACTTGCTGGGTACCCACTATGCCATAAATATTCATACTTTTTGTGTAATAGGCCAGCATTCACTATGCTATCCTTTGTCATTTTCGTCAGAAGTGTGGTATCTGCTACACGCAGTGTCACTTGCTAGGAATTTTGTGCAATTTTTTATACAGTGACTGATGACGTTAAAGGACCTATGCCTGAAGTGGGTATGCACCACAGCTTATAGGTGATCAAGAACAAGTTTATAATGGCTTAAATCATCGGACGACCCACTCATTTTGCAATTTGCATTGTGTGACACCTGGTTGTTTGCCTTTGGCGTTCCAAAATGCTTCATTTACTCATATTAACGCGATTCCTTTCCCGACATCAAGCCTGCCCAATGCCAGTTAAGAAACTAGTTCAAAGCACTGGCGTGGCTCAGTTGTGGAATACTGGACTGGCACGCAGCGAACCCGGGTTCGAATCCCATTGTGTCCCTGCTGTTTTTTAGGTTTTTTTTTTATTTCTTGCGATACTGGTTACGGTCACCGGCGGCAGGCAACTACGGCGCCACACGTCACCCGTGTTCTCATCTCGTAGCAGCTTTCGCTGCAATAAAAGCTTGCACGCTTGGTGTTATGCAACATGTAGCAAGTCGCACGAACACCTATCGCAATTCACCACAAAAGTGATGCAATGACTCGCGCCACACTTTCTTCCGCTGTAAGGACAGGATTCAACTGTAGCGATGCGTGTGCCGATTTTAAACCGGGCTATCGAAACAGTTATTAGATGTTTGTTTGTTTTTCGTACGGACTAATCGAGTTTCCATCTCACTCGAAACAGTGCACAGTGATGGGAGATAGCGTCAGCCATGCAGCAAGTCTTGGCATGGTAACCAGAGTCACCAAATTTATCGACACCATCGTTCAAAGAAAGGCATTTATATCAACTCAAATAAACAGCGATTTTCGGTCGTCAGTTCATCCAGCTGTCGCGGTTGTTGCATCAGCACATCTCAAACATCTCGAGCAGACGAGTAATCACCACAGCGGTTCGACACAGTTCGCTGGCAGCTAGCTGCTGTCCCATGGACGAAGCACACGTTCCATAGTTCCAGAAAAGTTTGACACCCTGTACTACTGGCCCGCGTTGCGCCACTGTTCAATCCAGGTGCATATTCTGTCCAAATTATCCTCCATGTCTTCTGGCGTGTTGCTAGGCAATTCGAACACAATTCCGTTGTCGTAGGCCTCGCGTGCCTCGTCCAGAATGGTTTGGAAAATCTCGCACTGAAGGTTCTCCTCCAGTTTCTTGCCCGCGTAGCCCCGGGCGCGGAGTCTGTCGTAGAGGAGCGTGTTATCAGTGCGCAGCACGAAGACCACGTCGAACCAGCGCTTGGGGAAGAAGTCGCAGCCGTGGTACTCGACGATGTTGCCGCCGGCCTGTAGCGAGAGCTTGTCGTCCATCTCGTCCACTACGCGGTCTTCGTCGAGCACGGGGCAGCCGTATTTGTCGTCGAAGCCGTCGTACAGCTCGTTCTCTTGCGCGATTTGACCCACGTTCAGCCAGTCCATGCCCGTGCGACTCGCCAGTTCGCACGCAAGGGTAGTCTTTCCCGTGCCGGGCGTGCCGGTGATGAGAATGTTGGGGACGTACCGACGTGCCATTGCTGCTAGTCGCCGATTAAATGTGTCACGGTTATCGAGAAGGCGCAGATGGAACGGGATATCGCTACAATCGCCACCACCACGTGTTTTACTCCATCTTGGAAGAAGGGCTCGCTCGTACGAAAATGCGTATCCTGCTGCCACGCGCCGCCCTCGTTTCGCTTCCGCATTGCTTCGTGGCGCTGCGGGCGTTCATGTTTGTGCTTACCCGCTTACTACATAGATGGCGCCACCGCCGCGTGCGCTTGATTGCGCTCAGCGGCTTGGCGCGCGTTCGCCAATGTTTTCGTCTAAGCACGTTGGCTCGCACGCTTGTTTGCACGTTTGTGATTGAACGCCGACGCCTTGTGACTGACGGCCGAACTCCCTCGCAGTGAAAACAATTGAGCCTTTGTCATTCGCGGTGCAGTGGTGGCATACCGGCCCCGTGCCCCCCAACCCCGAAATTTTTTGTCGTCATGGCATACAGAGCAAAAAATGGCCATTTCGAAATAATGAGGTGCCCCTCCCCTGAAAAAAAAGTTCCTGTCTACGCCCTTTCTGTGTGTTTATCAATCCCGAATAGAATGCCATTTGCGCTTGCATGAACGTATCGATTAACTGAGCTTATACACATGCGTATTTAAAACTCGAGGATAAATGAACGATATGTTTGCTTTAGCAATTTAGTTGCCCGACGTGCAATGTTCCCGCCTATTAAATCACCGTGTCTAATGTTTTTCTGGTGATGCCGTCCTTGTCGGTTGAACCATATCGTGCTCATCACTGGCGGATAGCGCCGGAGGTGGGGTCCGGATGTCCTAACACCCACTCAGCCACCCACTATTAAATTTTTAATGCGCAAGTGCATGTCGGTATTGATGACCCACATCAGATTGATATATCTGACTTTCCATAAGCTGATGAGAGGGTGGTCAAAGTTACCTTCTTTCATGGATGCGTCTGCCACCTCCAGTAAACACGCCCCCCACTTTTTCATGCTATGCTGGCACCTCCAAACGCATCTGCAAATCACCATCACAGACGTTGAAAGAACAGAACGAAACTGAATTGCTCGCAAGAATGGTGGTGTAGGATCACCTGCTTAAGAAAGACAGTTTAAAAGACTTTAACAGCTGACAGGTTATCATTTTGCGAAGCATAATTTAAAGTACGCGCGCAACGTTGACCGTTGAAAGGCTCTTTTCTAATATCATTACCAGGTGGCGACACTGGTGGGAGCTTGTTTGCCGAAGGCCGTACGAGGTCGTCGTCGCCTCTCCAATCTGGTGTTTTTTTCTTTGTTTAGTTTTCATTCTTCCTTTTTTTTCTCTCTCTCTATCGCTATCTCAAGGGCTTGCGCACTCTCGCAAAACTCGTCAGATTTCTTTATTTTCCTCCATCCGCTGCGCTGAGAAGGCGCAGCTTGTTTTCGAGCCGCGGACGTCACCCTAATTGAACCAGTTCCAGGAGCACGATGATAACCTGAGAACGCGTGGCTCGCCGCTCACTTCAGTTTGAGGCTCAAAAGCGTATTGCACCGCATTTGCTGTGAGGGTGTGCATTTCTCCACACGTGTCGTAGAGTCTCGGCGGAAGACTTCAATGGCATATGATGCCATTAAAGCAGAACATAAGCGACCGTGAAGGCTCGACAGGTTCTTTTGTTGGAAAAGGGGCGCGTGGGGAAAGGGGGGGGGGGTTCAGCCGTTGTCTCTGATACGCTGCCCTTTCACTTTTCGCCGTCTTGTCGGTATCTTGTTGCGGTCAGAGATGTCGCTGTCGATTAGAGCATAACATGTCACATGCGGTGTACAACTGATCAGACGGATTGGGCAGTTCTCGTCGTACCTATGTAGCTCTCTCGCCTTACAGTCCCGGAAACGAGGCACATGTTTGCTTGGTGGAGCCGGGACATCGACAAGATATCATGCACAAACACGCTGGCTGGATGACTCACTTCCTGATGACGCCATCAGATTATGGGCGTCTCTCGCTCTCTTGTCCGCCGCTCCGGACACGGCGTCAGTGGGCGACTGGTGCATGACGTCATGACTTTTGCTACCACATTACCGAGCGATACAACCACGTAGGGAAGTGCGTGCGTGTTGGTGGGTTGCGGTCCACGCTGTTAGGCTGACACGCAGGCACTGCGGAAAGCATTTTACACGGTGTTACACTGGTTTTCGAAAAGTGACGTCTTTTGGGTAGTGAAAACGGAAACAACTTTATGCCAAGTGGTCCCATTTTTTCGCGCGCCTCTCCCGTGGTTTAGCTAACGTGCTGCCCTTCTCCATACACGCTTGTTTCCTATTTAGTTATTTATTTGTTTGTTTATTTACAGTGCCATGAATCGTCATGTTGGCATTGCGAATTACAGAGAGCAATGATATAACAAGATATTTTCATTTTTTTTTAAATGACACGCGTGCAATGGTGCGACTAACCAATGGCATGTTTATTATTTCGTTAGTTATTTTTTCTAGTTAGCCAAGTCACTAGCATTATTGGCGAAAGCAGACGTTAGTGCACACACACACACACACACGCATATATATATATATATATATATATATATATATATATATTGTGCAACAATAATCGCGGAAGATACTGGTACGCATTGAGCCATGTAGGGGAGAGGAAAACGAACGACGAGTTATGTACCATGCGATTGCCCTTCTCTTTCTCGTGCTAACGAAACTGGCACGGCGGTGCAGGTTTACGCTGCGGGCTAACAATTAACAGATCGGGAGATCAAGGTCGCTCGCAACGGCATTCTAGTGGTCTATTGCAGTAGCAGCTGCCCCCCCCCCCCCTTCAGACTTCCCACTTCTCTGTAACTTTGCTAGCGATTTTCACTGTTTTCACTCTCTCTCTTGCCCTCGTAGGCTCCGAGAAAGTTGATAGGCCGAATTCACAATCGTAAGGGCTTGACGATAGTTTTAGCGCGAGAACAAAACGACGACACAGAGACAAAAAGGAGACGAAGGACTCGAGCGCTCGTGTCCTTCGTCTCCTTCTTGTCTCTGTGTCGTCGTTTTGTTCTCGCGCTATAACTATCGTCAAGCCATACCAACTAGCCCTAGCTGCCACACTCGTAAGGGCTGTTTGGCCGGACACCCTTCGCTAGTGACACGTCCAGCATCACCATTGGTACGAAGCTGCTTTCAGGAATACTTCTAGCGCCAATGCGGTCTCAGGTGTCTGTCATATAAATGGGTGCGAGATCTACGACTTGCGGAGGAGTTATTTAATTATTTAGCATTAACAACCACCACACGTGTGGTGAAGTTTCCGACGGTCTACGTATTGACTGGCCCCTCAATGTCCTAGTGCAGTTCGAAAACAAAAGAACACCTGCGTTTGATGGATGAACTTGAAAATGTAAAATGCCCCGAAGCCGGAAAATCGTTTCATTTGTATGTCAGCTCTACTTTTTCGCTCGTATTCAATTGTTCTGGCTACCCGCACGGTGGTCTAGGGGTTAAAGTGCTCGACTTATCACCTCAAACTCGCAGGATTGAATGCATTTTCGATGTAGGCGAAGATGCCTCAGGCCCGTGTGCTTGAATTTAGTCGCACGTTAACCCTTAGTACCCTAGCGTCCATATATATATATAATGTAAAGGCGTACTTCTCAGGTGCATGCCTACATGTTTTTGATAATGTCATTCTAAATTCATAAAATTTTCAAAAAAATTGATTGGGTTTATTTGAAAAACGCAAATGTTTGTCTTGTATTTGTGTGACGTTTGCTGCACTGCGAATCACCACAGTTTGTGAACGCCAGGTATACCGGAGTTCGGGTGAGAAGCTGATTGAACGCTGAATGGTACTAGGACCCGCTTCGTTGCCGAGCGGATCTGCTCAAAAATTATCTGTAATATAGGTCAACACGGCTTTATAAATTCGATTTATTTTTCTTTATTCGAATTCGAGATGTAGATTGCGTAGTTATGATGAAGTATACAGAGTCGGCGTGTCGTTGTGGGGCGCAGCGTGTGCAAGTGCTGGAAATCTCGGAGCGAGTTCCCGTGCCTCCATTCTGAAGGCGCTGCCGCCGTGTCGCCCAAGAGGCAGACAGAAATCAGGCGCCTTTTTTTTTTTTTCCTTTTCTCAAGAACCACTACCACCATTCTGACCACTTACCAGAAGCTAACGACGCGGGCCTGTTCCGCGAAAGGGTACGCGGAAGTCCCACGCAGGGAAAGAAAAGGGGACCCGTTAGTTGCATCGTTCACGAGCCGAGCCGTCAAAGCCGCCCACGTTTGGGACTAAAAGGAAAAAAAAAACTGACCGGAAAGCGTGTCGCGAAGAAACGAGGCGACGCGCGGTCGTCTGGTGGTTCAAGTTGATTGTTTGGCATTCACGTGTGCCCTTTGAGAACGCCGCAAGGACGCGGAAGCAGTTTTTCGGCCGCTTGGACGACTGGTGGTTGGGCTATGCATTCACCCTTTCGTGCCTTCGAAGCATGCGAACGAGCTTGCGCCCAGCTACACGCCATTATCGAGTGTCCTTGGGGGAGGCGGGGGCCGCCTCACTGTCGCATGCACATGTCAGTGGACATGGGCCCGACAGCGTAGGCTGGTGGAGCTCGAGCCTGGGAACGGTTACCCCGGACGTCCAAGGTCGATACTCGGTTCATAACGTGGGAGAGAGTGTGTGACTACACGTGTCGCGCAGAGAACCCATTCCCTCGCGCGTTGTATTATGTAACGCGCTTTTTACCAATGCAGAGTATGTTATGAAAGTGTTCTCGCAATTCGTTTGTGGTGATGTGAACCCATATGTGGGATTGGCTTGTCTGAGGACTCTTTTACTAACCTCGAGTTGAAAAGGGGATGCAAAAGAAAAAGCGGAGGTTCAGGCTGGGCCCGAGCAGACGCCTGAGGTCTCTTCACCGGACGACGTGTCTTCCTTCGCGCCACCGAGCACTCGAGTCATCGAGGGGTGCCGATTCCGAATCTCAAACACCCTCCCTCCTTAGCTAGTGTTGGAGGCTAGTCGAGGAAGAAGCATAGAAGAGTAGAAATAAGTGATGGCCATTATCTGCCCATAATTTTCAGGTTGAGTGGCGGAAGCGAATGGTCCGATTTGGAAAGCAGCGATAAATAGTGCGCTCAAGAAGAAGAGCCATCAACGAGCCTCTAGAACAATGTTACTACTGACGATAAAAGCATTC